TTTTGAGTGATGGAGAAAAAAGAAGATGAAGAAAATGTTGTTTTTTGTTTTTTCAAAAGAAGCTGGCCAAAACGGCGTCGTTTTGGCCCAGCTTCTAATTTTTTTTTAAAAACAAGCCTGCGGCAAACGATCTGTGTTTTTGTATGGCCGATCGCCTTTTTTTTTTAAACCCACTGCCAAAACGGCGTCGTTTTGGTAGCGAATTTTTAAAAAAAAAACTGCGTTGGCCAAAACGACGTCGTTTTGAACCAGCAGCACAGCACCGAATTTTTTTTAAAAGACCTGGCCAAAACGACGTCGTTTTGGTCCAGGTCTTTTAAAAAAAAAAGAGAACAGATTGTATATACATAGACCCTCCATCTCTCCCGAGTTTTCAACTCCAAAACCCCCATTTTCTAAACCCTCAAACCTAAATCCCCAATCTCCACCCCCCCCCAAACCTTTAACCCTCTCCCCACCAAGCCTTTAAGCCCCAACTCCTCCATTGCTGCTTTTTACACTATGACCCTACGACATAAAATTCCTGGGTCCGTCCCTGTATATAGGCTGGCATTTGTACTTTTGGGCCACCTGTTACGTACAATACATTGCTTGCCTCAACTTCTTTGGTTTGGTTATAACTTACAACCAAGGTTCAATTAATTCCAGTCTTCCCTATCATATAATTCCAAATTCAAGTTAAACGGAAATTTCAGAGAGTGTAAGACTTTTCTTTGTCTGGGCTTGAGCTTTCTTTGGTCATGTATTCTCCATTCATGAGTAAATTCAAATACCATTTTCCTTTCGGTCTGACTCAGGCATAGATGAAATCACCAAAACCTGCAACACATGATCATGAACACTTCAATGGAAAAATTGATGGTAGGGAGCTTAGGCACTGATTTGAGTAGTTCAGATCATTAAAAAAAAATTAAAAAAAAAAACTAATTACATAACGCCGTTCGGCTATACTATTTTTGGAAAAAACAAGGGTATAGCCAAGCGGCTATACTATTAATAATTAGAAAAGGGACCCGCCTAGCGCCTGTAGGGCAACGTCTGAAAACCGGTATAGCAGCACGGCTATACTTATTTTTATAAAAAGCCCAAATATAGCCGCGCGGCTATACTAATTTTTTTTAAAAAATTAACGCGTATAGCCGAACGGCTATACTATTTTGAAAATGCGGGGGGAGAGTATAGCCACCCGGCTACACTATTTGCTATTAAAGAAATGTCAAACCTTTCCTTCAAAATTATAAAAGGCCATATGAGTCCACAAATATGGCAAATCACAAAATTGCACTCTCACCACACACACGTAGGAAACATATGGCTGCACATACGAGAGAGAGAGAGAGAGAGAGAGAGGAGTTTTATGCAAAGTGTGAGAGGGTGGGGAGGAGGGATGGTGATGCGATGGGTTTTGGGTGGGCGGAGGACGCTGCTGCGCAGTAAGGGTTTAAAGTTGTTAGAAGGGGCGGCAAGAAATGAGAAGAAAATCTGTCAACATATATTAATTCTCTCTCTCTCTCTCTCTCTCTCTCTCTCTCTCATTGCAGGTCTATATACTGGTAGCAGATGAAAAGCAGAGGCTTCTACAAGAACATAAATAAACGACCAAGATTATAAAGTTATGTAGGACAAATCTAAACATAATTGATCTGCTGGGTGCACTTTATGTTTTAGTCTTTAAAGAATCTCTTTGCTTGTGTTCTGTGTAGGTTCGTACACGTAGGTTCTGCAGGAGTTACCCGACCTGACAGGCCTAGTAAACAACCTCCTCCTGTTCACTTAAACGAGGAATTGGATTTTATCCTGACATTCAAGTTGCAGGTTTCATACTAATTCAGTGCAAGCTGTTTGATATTTTTATACATAATCAGTGTATCAAAATACCACTTCTCAGCTCTTTTCTGTTCTTTTTCTTTTTCTGGTCGGATTTAGCTCTTTCGATTTTGTACATTGATAAGTTTTGGAGCAGGGGGAGGATTTAATACGGGGAAGTGGTACCATATACAATTGTGAGGCCTTGTGCATTAACTGAGGAGCCTGCCGGAGCAGATCTCATTTTTGACCAAGGAGCAAAGATCACTATTCTCTCTTTGTTGTATGTCTCTGATGACATGTATTGCTCTTTCTTTCCCTCATAATAGTCATAGTATCTGAATGTTATGATTTATGGTATATATATATATATATATATATATATATATGCAGGGTAAGATATCAAGAGAGTGCAGAAAAATAGACAAGGGAGAAGTTTGGGTTGAATCACTCGATACTTTTGATCATGTTGAGATACACCATATATACAGGATGCTAGCGGTGGTCAACTATAACAAAAGAGGAAAATACATGATTACAGGGATTTGTACATAAATTGTACCAATCACGTTGTAGGCTTTAGGCACTGGTCTGTAGCCCAAACATCAACATAACACACATAAAAATCATCATTTAAAAAAAAAGAAAAGAAAGAATAGAAAAAAGATTGTTAATTACAACTTTAACTTACTCACAACACTAATGATCAGCTATAGTAGGAGTCTTACCACCATCATCCTCATCTGTACCATCACATTTCTACAATCACATAAGCAATTTATAAAAGTGTGATTACAGCACAGAACTCAGAAAGAACAATTTGGTATTACCTCTGCCTTTATTGTAGATGGCATCTCAAGAAATGAAATTTTGTGATATTCATTTATTATCCGTTTACATCCCAAAAACATATCCTCAGACGTCACGTTGCAGTCCCGAAACATTCCATCTTTTTTGAAGCAGATTCGAACTTCCCACAACGTTCCATTATAACACCTTATATTTGCCAATTTGTCAGTCTTTTGCCTTATCACTTGAATGATCAAGCTAGGATAAAAATCCATCCCAACTGAAACTCCAGCATCCTCAAGCATCTTTGTCACATTAACGTCTTCAAAATTTGAATGCTAAGTAGTCTTCAGCAAGCAGATCAGAGTATTTACCATGGACTTTCTACCGTTTTTTCCAAAGTTTTCTAGTCTCAGTCAAATCCTTCGCTGTTGGAGTTAACCAGTACGCTTTCAGCTTGATAAAACAAGCTATTTCCTGCAAAATTTGAGTCATATGTGTAAAGCTGCGAAAGAAAACGTTGAACAAAAACCAAAAACAAAAAATAATACCACAATCTTGAACTGTTCGCCAATGAAAATCCCTTTGAATAATAAATATTCTTAACAAAGCAGCGGCAAAGCACCCAAGAGGCTGTAGTTGCAGGCTTGCAGCAACCACACCAAATAAGACGCATTGAGTTTCCATCTATATATTATTGTCTTTAAAATTTAAATACAATTATACCAAAACAAAACGGCATGAAATATATGTCACAGGATAGGATCCATTAATTAAAGTGCTGAACAAGAGGGCGGTTTGAGCAGCAGCAGCGTCCTTCAAAAACTGTCTTCATTTTGTAGAGTGTGGCTACAGCTTCTGTCATACTTATCCTCTCTTCTGGTGATTTTGCACAGCAAGCAAGAGCTTGATCATCATCTTCCTGCTTTGTCCCAATCCCAAGCAAATGGGCATCCACAACTTCATCTATCATTGCATTTGGTAATAGTGAGTTTGCAATCCATTGCTTTAAATTCATTTCCCCAACAAACATCTCATCTGTTGGCTTCCTTCTTGTGAATGTTTCCATCACTACAGTTCCAAAACTGTACACATCTCCTCTTGTTGAAACCATTCCTTCCAATCCATACTCTGCATTATGAAAAATCGGCCTGGGCGGAGCTAGGCGGGTCTGGGCGGCGCTAGGCAGGTCTGGGTGCCAGGTTGGGTCTGGTCTTTTGTTCTTTAAGCCTACTGCCTAGCGATTTTTCAAACTTATGCACTGCAGGATTGGTCTATGCGGCGCTGGGAGGGTCTGGGTGCCAGGGTGGTTCTGGTTCTTTTCTTTTGGGCAGACTCAGACATAGATACAATCACCAAAACCTGCAACATATACAAGAATAAGCACACACTTTGTTTGCTAAATTCATGTTAAGAAAACATAAGATTTTGCAGTGCATTATATCAAACAAAATGGCTTACTTGGATTAGTGACAACGATAAGGCCAACGCCATTGAAATCACAATTGTAGCGCCCATCCGTCTTATAGGAAAGATTCATGTCAAATGAGGCATGGTTTATGAGGGTATTTGGAAAGTAGCATGAACCATGCTCTTGTATTTCACTGCATTCTTTTAATATTCCACAAGTGAAGTTTATGATGTTCTGTAATGCAGAGTCTGGGGTTCCGGGCTTAGGCACACACCAAGTATCCTGCAACCCAACACAGCATAATAGTAATTAATTAAGTTTAATTAAGCATTTGAAATGATTTTGATATAATTAAGATGATTTGAAATCTTGGTTTAAATTATACTGTTTGGATTTGAGTTACCTCCTTTTCCTGTGGCAGTGGAGGTCCTGATCCTCCTACAAATTTCAAAAGGGAAAGTGAATGTAAACTTGTACAAATATTTTTGCATATGAAAAGGTGCAAAACTCATTATAGTTATAGGCACATGCCACTCACAAATTGGCATCAACTTTGCAGCTTAAGAGTCCACGAATCTCTACCGTACCCGAGAAGAAGAACAGAAGCAGTAGAGAAATAACAGGACCTGGCAGAGCTAGCTTAGCCATTGCTGTTATGTTATACAAAGTAGTGTAATTTCTATGGTTGACTAATTCATGAAGAGGAAGATGGGATATTTGTAGCAGTGCTGCAGAGGAGGACACATAATGATCATGCAAGAACAACTGAGTAACAATCTGATATGCTCCATTACAGTCAGATTGTATATAGGCTGGCATTTGTACTTTTGGGCCACCTGTTACGTACAATACATTGCTTGCCTCAGCTTCCTTGGTTTGGTTATAACTTACAACCAAGGTTCAATTAATTCCAGTCTACCCTATCACACAATTCCAAATTCAAGTTGAACAGAAATTTCAGGGAGTGTAACACTTTTCTTTGCCTGGGCTTGAGCTTTATTTGGTCAGAATTCTCCATTAAATTTTTTTGGAGGTTATAACTGTCAACCTTGGATCCTGAGAAAATTTGGGGAGTTGGTGGAAAGAGATGTGAAGACATCCAAACTTTTCTTCCTTTTTAACGACATCTAACTTTTCCCTTTTTCTGTTGCACCAGTTGAGGTTTCTTGCATTAGAATTAGATTTGTATTCTTACAGAACGATCAAGTTGGTTTTTATCATGGTAATTCTAGACTACAATCCCCACAATGGGTCCATCCCATTCATGAGTAAATTCAAATACCATTTTCCTTTTGGTCAGACTCAGGCCTAATCACCAAAACCTGCAACACATGATCATGAACACTTCAATGGAGAAATTGATGGTAGGGAGCTTAGGTACTGATAAGAGTAGTTTAGATCATTAAAAAAAAAAAAAGGAGTAAAAAATACTTGATGCTATTTTGGGGAAAAAAAAAAAAAAAAAAAAACCAGTATAGCCGAGCGGCTATACGATTTATATAAAAAAGGGGCCGGCCTAGCGCCTGGACGGCCACGTGTAAAACAAGTACCGCCGTCCGGCTATACTTCTTTTTTTTAAACAAATGCCTTAGTATAGCCGACCGGCTATAGTATAATTTAAAAAGGGGACCCGCCGAGCGCCGGAGCGCCCACGTGTGGAAACAAATATAGCCAATTTATTTTAAATAATGCCCGAGTATAGCCGAACGGCTATACTATTTTGAATATGCGCGAGGAGCGTATAGCCACCCGGCTACACTATTTGCTATTATGGGTTTTGGGTGGGTGGAGGAGGCTGCTGCGCAGTAAGGGTTTAAAGTTGTTAGAAGGGGCAGCAAGAAATGAGAAGAAAATCTGTCAACATATATTAATTCTCTCTCTCTCTCTCGTTGCAGGTGTATATACTGGTAGCAGATGAAAAGCAGAGGCTTCTACAGGAACATACATAAGCGACCAAGATTATAAAGTTCTGTCGGACAAATCTACATGACTTAAAATGGGTCTGGGCGGCGCTAGGCGTGTCTGGGCGGTGCTAGGCAGGTCTAGGCGGCGCTAGGCGGGTCAAGGCGGCCCTAGACAGGTCTAGGCGGTGCTAGGCGGCTCTGGGCGGCGCTAGGCGGGTCTAGGCTGCGTTAGGCGGGTCTAGGCGTGTCTGGGCGGTGCTAGGCGGGTCTAGGCGGGTCAAGGCGGCCCTAGGCAGGTCTAGGCGGCATTAGGCGGATCTGGGTGCCAGGGTGGGTCTGGTTCTTTTCTGTTGTTCTTTAAGCCTACTACCTAGCGATTATTCTTTGAAGCCGATATTTCGAGCAAGAACTGTATCAGATGCACCACCTTTTGACCCCAGCAATATTGTGTCATTGCAGGCACATATCAGATGTTTAGCAAGTTTGAATTTGAAGGGAAACTGAATCCTACTTTTGTGGAAGGGGAATTTGAGCTCCCATTATCAAGCATACGAGCATATCTAAAAGAGCCTATTACTCCCAGAGGAAAATGTGAGCAGGAGGGATTGCTTATCATCCATTATGAGATTAGCTCTAGCTTGTTCCACAGAATTTCCAGAAGAGAGGATTAACATGGAAGATGTTGTTGTCACACTCGATAAAATCAAGATTAAGATTTTGAAGGACTGTGCTGGAGTGCAGCCTTAGTTTTTCTAGTGTTTTTGTTTTGTTTTTTGTTTGTTTCTGGATCCATTTTCTTCTTGTTTTCGATCTGCAAAGACTGCATTAATTTGTCATAAAGAGTTGCCTTTCTCCACTAATCTTTTCTTCTTCTGTCTTCATATGGTGGAAAACCCTATTTGTTCCTCCACGATTACCTTACTTACAAACAATGTAAGTAAGAGCTGGCCATGACAGAATTTTATGCGCAAAACATATTCTCCCTGGGCTGATGGATGCTAATACATATTTGTTCCTTTTTGTTACAGATGGTTATTCATATGAATTTTTAATATGTAAAATACGACCCCCCCCAAAGGTGCATGACAAAACAAGATAAAGAAGATGGTGATGGATGTGTCAAATTGTGAATTGACACATACCCACTCCTTCCATGAATTGACAAAAGTGGCAAGGCCTATATATATTCTTTGTATCACACTTTGCCCACAGAGAAACAATGGTCGGATGGGATGGTATTTAAGTTTTATATTACCAGAACATAAATTCAAGTGGACTTGATACAACTCGAGAAATGACCAACGTATTAAACTTTTAAAAAAAATATCATCTCTAATGTAGAGAATAAAACGAGTTAATCGACCGTCACATACTCAATATTTTGTTTAGTAGAAGCGTGATTGTGATTTAATTGCATAAACTAATTATTGTTACTTAGTGGATTAAGTGGAACTCTGTGAGGGCTGAAGTTATTATACACGCGAGTATAGCCGACCAGCTATACCTTCCTGAAACATATGTTCCTTCTGCGAGAAATCCTCTTAGAGATCTTGGAGGCAAACCCCATTCTGAGAGGTAGATTCTTGCCTTTTATGTTGGAAATGTGCATGGCTATCTACGTCCAATTCTACTAGAGCACTAGAAGGACAAAGACCATGATATGAAGATCTTTGGTCCAATGCCTCCTAGTGTTGCAATCAAAATTAACTACATCCAGCATATGAAGAGAAGCAAATACTATATCTGCCCCAAGGGTTACGAGGTCAACAGCCCACAGGTGGCTATACTCTTTATAAAAGAAAAAAAACAGGACCTGCCTAGTGCTGAGAGTGTGTTTTGTGAAAAGAGTACCGCGGCGCAGCTATATGCTAGAAATAGAATTTTTTAACAGTATAGCTGCTCGGCTGTACCCTATAAAGAAAACGTTTCCACAGTATCGCCGGGCGGCTATACTCCATAAATAGAATTTTCCAACAGTATAGCTGCGCGGCGATACTCCATAGATAGATTTTTGGGAGCTTCACTAATATACCCAAAATAGGAGCTGAAATTATAAAAAAAACCCCACATGGAATGCACTTTAGAAACACACCCAAAATCCATTTACCATATAAGAAATTGGTGTTGAAGTTCCTATAAATTACAGGACTGCCACTGATGGCCACCAGAAAAAAAAAAACAAAAAAAAACTCAAAAAACACCCAAAACAAGCCCAGCCCAATTTTATAAAAAAGCCCAAACATTTTTTTAATTTTCATGGAGGTATCAGGAATGGCTTAAAAGTGGCGTAATTTGGTGAACATAACAATTTGACAAGAATTTTAGCCTAACTAGAGAATAGGGATATATACCTCTTAAGTAAATGGACTTAGCATTCATATAGGAGTTCGAACTTGAATTTGAATAAAATGATCAGAAATAACAAGTAAATTCCCCTAGTATGTCATCTCAACCCCTACGATAGACCAAAAATCTAACACAAGGGGAAAAATGTGAATTTCTGTATTCTTAATCCTACATAGGATCTTGCAAACCCTTGAATACAATGTGGAAATTATCATGTCTGCTGAGCCCCATCAAGCAGTTATCAGCTTCATCACAACTACTTGAAACTCTATATCATAAATCAATCTTCACAATGAAACTATATATTAAGTCATGGTCTCGACAGCTTTCTTGGCAAATGTTTCAGCAACCAGCAAAGGGAAAGCAATTGTTGCATTGCAATGTACCTGGTTCAACCAATCAAAAGGAGGGAAATTAAACAGATGGATAAAACGCTGGAAGGGTTAGCATTTGGTGGATAGAAGTATATATTATAATGCAAACAAAAATGAGAGCTAAAAGGGAATGGGCATAGTGAAGATATGACATAGGTTAGGTAAATACCTCAGTTTTAGCAGAACCCCGTATTTTCCCCCATGATACAGCCTCATCCGGATGAGCTCCAGAATCACTCCCATCAAACTTTGGTGCAGTATTGATGAAGACAGCATAATCCGCACCATTACGCATCATGTTGGCATTGCAAATGTGGTGTTTGGGCAGGCCCCCTCCGAGAATGATCATTCCAGTCTTCCTTGGATTTGCATGGACAGCTTCGCCGTTCATGGCCCTAATATCTATTCCAAGGCATGCTATCTTGTGATTACATTTTCCCAAGTTAATTATCAGCTGCAATGAAAAAGTAACGAGCAGCATACCTTGCACTACATCAACGATCAGACCTAGACTGCGGAAAGAATGAAAGTAAAACATGTCTCCCAGTGAGCCATCTGTTAAGCCTGGACAGAAAACTGCGATATTGTTCTGGAAAACAACCACAAAAATACA